ATGGTCTATTTTCATTCTTTTACATGTGTCTGTGGGAAGTTTTAAAATTACTAATTCAATTTCTTTACTTGTTATAGGTCTATTTAGATTTTCTATTTCTTCTGATTTGTGTCTTTCTAGGAATTTGTCCATTTCATCCAAGTTATCTAATTCGTTGGCATACAGTTGTTTATAGTATTCCTTATAATCATTTTTATTTCTGTAATAATTTTTGTAATTTGACCTTCTCTCTTTTTTCTTGATAAGTCTAGCTAAAGTTTTGTCGATTTTGTTGATCTTTTTGAAGAACCAACTTTTGGTTTTGATGATTTTCTTTATTGTTTTTCTAGTCTCTATTTCATTTGCCTGCTGTAATCCTTATCACTTCCCTTCTGCTTGATTTGCATTTAGATTGCTCCTCTTTTTCTAGCTTCTTTAGGTGGAAAGTTAGGTTACTGGTTTGAGATATTTCTTCTTTTTTAATATAGGCAGTTACAGCTATATTTTCCCCTATCTCTAACTAATCTAGCTATATCCTATAAGTTTTGATATGTTGTGTTTTTGTTTTCATTCACCTCAAGGGACTTTCTAATTTACCTAGTGATTTTTTTTCTTTGACCTATTGTTTATTTAGGAATGTGTTGTTTACACACATATTTGTGAATTTTCCAAATTTCCTCCGTTGTTGATTTCTAATTTAATTCTACTGTGGTCAGAGAACATGCCTTAAATGATTTCCTTTTAAGTTACCGAGACTTGTTTCATGGCCTAACATATGATCTGTCCTTGAAAAAGGTGCAGGTGTGCTTAGGAAGCTTATGCATTCTGCTGTTGTTGGATGGAGTGTTCCATAGATGTGTATTAGGTCTAGTTGGTTGATAGTGTTGTTTGAGTCTTCTGTGTCATTATTGATTTTCTGCCATTATCAAAAATGGGCTATTGAAGTCTCCAGCTAGTATTGCTGAATTGCGTATTTCTCTCTTCAATTGTGTCACTTTCGCTTTATGTATTTTTTAGGCTTCGTTGTTAGGTCATATATGTTTATAATTGTTACAGTTTCCTGATGGATTGACCCTTTCCTCATTATAAAATGTCCTTCATTATCTCATAACTCTTTTTGTCTTAAAGTCGAATTTGTCTGATATTTGTTTAGCCACTCCAGCTGTCTTATTGTTTTCCCTTCTTTTTGTTTTTTTGAAAGATTGACCCTGAGTTAACATCTGATACCAATCTTCCTCATTTTGTTTGAGGAAGACTGTCCCTGAGCTAACATCTGTGCCAGTCTTCCTCTGTTTTGTGCGTGGAATGCTGCCACATTATGGCTTGATGAGCAGTGTGTAGGTCTGCACCTGGGATCTGAACCCGCAAACCCTGTGCTGCCAAAGCAGAGCATGCAAACCTAACCACTACGTCACCAGGCCAGCCCTAGCTATTGCTTTTTAATAATAACAATAACCTCTTATACATGTACAGTGCTTTGCAGTGGTTAAATTGCTTTCATATCCATTGTCTTTTGTTATCCTTATAACAGCAATATAAAATAAGCAGGCCATAGATTTCTTTTCTCATTTTATAGATGAGAAAACAGAATCAGTGAGGTGAAGTGACTGTACAAATCACACAGCTAGACAATAGCAGAGTCAAAACTACAATTCAGGCCACATTCATTCCTTCAAATACTAATTCATTTTGTCAAACATATTTGTTGAATACCTACTACTGAACTTAGCATAGGAAGGAGGATGCCTGGGCAATGCCCACAATATTAATTCATTCCAATTATATCAAGCGGCTACTTTGTACTGGTCCTGGATTAGGTGATACAATTTTTACCTTTCGAAGAGCTCACATTCCAGAATAGAAGACAGAAATTATTACACTACAAGGTGACAGTGTTCTAATAAGGATTGTAAAACATGCTTTGGGAGTACAGAGGAGAGAATAAATAACTACGTATAGGAGAATCATGGATAGCTTCACAGAGGACATTTGAGCTAGGTTTCAAAAGATGAATAGGAGTTTGCTAGGGAGAGAAAAGAATATGACATGAAATGGCATGACCAGAAAGGACAGGGTATTTTGAGAAAACGGCAGTGGTTTGGAGGGGCTAAAAGGTAGATTGAGAGAGGAGGAGGGCAGGGCTGGCCTGGTGGTGCAGTGGTTAAGTGCGCACGTTTTGCTTCAGCGGCCCGGGGTTTGCCAGTTCAGATCCCAGGTACAGACATGGCACCACTTGGCAAGCCATGCTATGGTAGGCGTCCCACATATAAAGTAGAGGAAGATGGGCAAGGATGTGAGCTCAGAGCCAGGCTTCCTCAGCAAAAAGAGGAGGATTGGCGGCAGATGTTAGCTCAGGGCTAATCATCCTCAAAAAAAAAAAAAAAAAAAAAAGGATGGGGCTGGCCCTGTGGCCAAGTGGTTAAGTTCACGCGCTCCGCTGCAGGCGGCCCAGTGTTTCGTTGGTTCGAATCCTGGGCGCAGACATGGCACTGCTCATCAAACCACGCTGAAGCAGCGTCCCACATGCCACAACTAGAAGGACTCACAACGAAGAATATACAACTATGTACTGGGCGGCTTTGGGGAGAAAAAGGAAAAAATAAAATCTTTAAAAAAAAAAAGAGAAAAGAGAGGAGGAGGTACTATAGACTGAATGTTTGTCCCCTCCCCCATTCATATGTTGAAGCCGAATCTCCTATGTGACAGTATCTGGAGGTGCAGCCTGTGGGAGGCAATTAGGTCATGAGAGTAGAACACTCATAAATGGGATTAGGACTCTTCTCAGCAGACACTAAATATGCCAGCACCTTGAACTTGGAATTCCCAGCCTCCAGAACTGTGAGAAATCAATGTTTGTTGTTTAAGCCACCCAGTCTATGATATTTTTGTCATGTCGGCCTGAACGCACTAAGACAGAGGAGTTGAAGATGAAGCTAGAGGAAAGACAGTCTGGCGCTGGATTGTGGAGGGTCTTGAACTCCACAGTAAGCAGTTTGGATTTTGTCCTATGGACAGTGGAAGAACTAATGCCTTCTGAGCAAAAGATTGGCATGTTTTAGAAACAGCATTCTGATGGCAACTAAAAATGAGTAAGACCTGATTCTAGTAGTCAGGTTAGAGCTGGTGAGGGCCTGAACTATCGCAGTGGCAGCACTGATGAAAGGGCGTGGGGACCGCCCTGTGGCTGAGTGGTTAATTTCGTGCGCTCTGCTTCCCGCGGCCCAGGGTTTTGCTGGTTCAGATCCTGGGCGCAGACATGGCACCACTTCTCAGGTCACGTTGAGGCGACATCCCATGTGCCACAACTAGAAGGACCTACAACTAAAAAAAGCTACACAACTATGTGCTGGGGGCGGATTTGGGGAGAAAAAAAAAAGCAGAAAAGAAAAGAAGATTGGTAACAGTTGTTAGCTCAGGTGCCAATCTTTAAAAAAAAAAAGAAGAAAGGGCATAATTCTCAGAGCCTGAGTACATCTGGCTCACACTCCAAGATTTCACTCTTCTCCAGACTGGCTTCTTTCCATCCTCTCCTTGAGAGAGGGTAGGTCTCAACCTGTTTGAAGCCCCATTTTTACATTTTTACAATGCAGCTGAAAGGGGAAAGAAGAGTTCAGCAGCTTTCTGTCCACCAACCTTCAAAAATTTCCTAGTTTTTTTTTTTTTTTTACCATGTAAAGAACACACTCCTTCACGGGGCTCTAGAGGTCCAATGTACTGAAACTCCAGCTTACTTTCCAGTCTCATTTCCCACCATTCCTCTATTGTCCAATCACATGGGGCTAGTTATCCTTCCTAAAATTTACTCTGCTTTTTCCTACCTCTGTGCCATTACTTAAGCTCTTCTATGTTTCCTATCTGGGCATGGTTACAGCTTACCCATCCACAAATCCCATTTCCCCCTCAGATTCCTCTGATTCTCTTAGTTTTAGTAGAGGAGAAAAAGCATAAATTCTAGGACACAAAGGCATGGGTTTGAATCCTGGCTCTGCCACTTACTTTGTTTTGTTTACTATCTTCACTAATCATGTTTCCTAATCTGAAATGAGGAGAACACCTATGTTAGAAGATCTCAGCGAGCACTAAATGATAAATGCAAATTAAAGCATTCGAAGAACGATAAAGCAATATGTAAATGATAGCTACGACAGTAAATCACAACACAACATTTTTATTTATATGTTTCTTTCACTTTTTAGGATATCCTGTCTTGTATTATTCTCATTTGTATATGTTTTACTTTCCCCAGTAAATAATGAGCTCCTCGAGAAGGACCTGTTTTAATCATTTTGTACTTCCAATGTACATGGAATAATACCTTGTACATTGAAGTTACTGATAAATGTTTACTGAATGAGTAAATAAATTGATAGTAAGAGATATAGTGAATATTTTTAGGGTTTTGTTTTTCGTTTTGGTTTCTCAACATCTGAAACCTCTTTCTCTGTGTGAATCTTAATGGGAGACAGGGTCCCACCTCCCACAAGAGAAGCCAAAGATACCTAAAGGTTTCCTTTCTCCCCCCTTGCAGCTAAGGCAAAGGCAAATGAGCTAGATTTGGTCTTTTGGATGCCCCTACCAGGACTTTCAATCTTGAACAAATAGTGTAAAGACACGGGAAAGGGTAGAATTCATTTAAGATGGCGGCATGCAGTGGTGATGGAGATGGTGGTTCCAGCTGTGGTATCCTTAACTAGACCATTCCTGTGTTATGACTTTGGCTGTGATCCCCGGATCTATTTTCTGAGCATGATTAGCTGAGCTTCTCATCACCTCTGAGGATTATTTGATAACCTTCCCATATATTTATTTCCCCCTTATGTTGGCAAAATTGCTTTCTATTGCTTGCAACTAAGAATCTTGGCAACCCTTTGGGGTAAGGGTTTAGTGCGGAGGAGAAAGCAGGGGTCTTTCACTTTTCTCTTTGTAAACTTCTGTGTTACTACTGTTGTATTCTGTCATTTTGAGGATTCTGAATTTAGCTCAGTAAGATGGGAAACTTAAAAAACAGAACAATGACATGATCAGATCTATTTTTTTTATTGCCATGTATTAGATGAGGATGAATTAGAACTCAGAGAAATTAGAGGCTAGGAGAACAATTAGGAGGAGGCCGTTGCCATGGTCCAGACAAAAGACTGAGAAAAGCTCTCAATTTGGAGAGAGAGACAGATTGTCAGTCATAGGTCGGGTTTTCTGGAAGCAGATGCTGAGACAGAGTTTGAGGTGCAAGATATTAACTGGGGGGAGGAAAGAGGGATTGAGTAGAGGGAGAAGTCAAACTGCAATGTAGATCTGACAAAGACCTAGCCAACCTGGCAAGGAGCTCTGGAGTGAATATTGCTCATCAGAATTGCCCTGCAGTGGGCCAGCATGGTGAATGTTTATACTCCTGCTTTGCTCAGTCACTGGATGAAGACAGCCCCAGGATGAGCGTGACCTTGTTCAGGACTGTTCCTGGCAGGTGAGGCGGACACTGAAGGAACTGAAGCAGCTAGAGGTTATCTGTTGGCTGTACTCCCTGTAGCTCAACAGCAAGTCTTTCTTTGAAGATAGAACTGGGTGGCACAGAAAAATAGATTAATTATGATATCTTGAACAAAAGCAATGGAGTGGATAGGAGGGAATGGATTCTATAGATATCGTACTTTGTAGGTGGGGATGAAGAGGGAGTAAATAAACATTAACACTGAGGTCTCTATATTGATATGATTTGATGGTAATTCTGTTTAACTGATACTAAACAACACAAGAGAGAGGACAGATTTGGGGAGAAAGATAAGGAATGTAATTTTGAACATCTTGACTCTGAAATGTCTGCAAAACATTAAGATAGAGATGATTTTCAAGAATCAATGCAAATGGGGGAGTCTGGAGGTCAGCAGCAAGTGCTATATTTATTGAGTATGCATATATTATATTATATATATTATCTTATTTAATACTCATAATGCCTCTATGAGGTAGGTGTTCTTTTTATTATACCCTTTTTATATATTTTATTATACCTTTTGCTTATGAAGAAACTGAGACTTGAAGAAGTTAAATGCCTGGCTCAAAGAAGTAAAACTTGAGTCTGTCTGATGCTTTTAAAAACAAGATTCTATTGCTTCCCCTTGGAAATCACCAAAGATAGACGGCATTTGAAGCCATGGAAGTTAGTAGGTCACCCAGAAAGGGTACAGTTTAAAGGGGAACAAAAGAAGCCAAAAAACGGAATTCTAAGGAAGTCAACATTTCCAAGGTGAATTTAATAAGATGACATAGGCAAAGGGATTGACTGAGGGGCCAGAATAGTTTCTAAAAATTAGAAGTATAGCATCACAGAAGTTGGAGTAAAAAGAGAGTTCTAGTCCACAAAGTGATATGTTGCAGATATCATAGAAGATGAAGGTTTCACAATTAGCAGTCATTGATGATCTTAGAGCAGTTTCTAGAGAAGTCACACTGCAGTGGGTTGAAGAGTGAAGAGGAGATGAGAAATAAAGGGTATAGTCTACTTTTCCAGAAGTTTTACAAAGTAGAGGAAATAACAATGCCTTATACATAAGTAAGGAATTTATTATTATTGTTAATTGATTAATAACTCCTGGCCCCCATATGACTTGGATTTTACACTTCCATCATTTCTCTGGTTATTTCTTTCTACCTCTCTTTTACCAGTATCCCTTCCCAAGTCGGACACACCTGGAAGCACTGAATTGTTTATTTTGGTTGTGGATGACTTGTTTTATTTGGTTATGTGTTTTGAATGCCTCAGGTGATTCTGTCTTTGGACAGAAGGCCATAGATTCCCCTGCCCCAACTCCATCATCTGTTTTCCACAAAGAGATAAGCATTCACTTCTCAGACCAATTCAGCAAAGCGTGCAAGTTCTTAGGTTCTTAGCAAACCAAGTACTCTGTCTACCTAGCTTCCTCACCTCCCTTCCCCCAAACTCTTGGTGGACAGATCTGGGAGAAGAAAGGAGTTGCCACTCCAAATGTGCTGGTATATAATGTCCCAGATGGGGAGTCTGGTTTTGCAGTGAGCTGCGATCTTCCTTTGCCAGCCCCCATCGGTCCAGCCCTTTTTCAGAGGCGGCTGGAGAGTAATTAACACCGCCGTCCACCTGTGCACAGGAAGATGCCTACAGCCACACCAGCGATGATGAAACTGCCCACCAGGACGCCTAGGACCAGCGAAGTGTAGGAGCGGCCTGTTTGGCTCCCTGTAGAATATGCAAAGAGTTAGCCTGAAGAACATACCCCCAAGAAGTCCATGGTTTGAGTCAAACCTCAAGGGATTTCAGCCCCAAAGGAAGGAGACTAATTCACCAACTGACTTCAGCTGTGTGTACTCTGACCCAAACCCCAAGTCCTGGGCCTCCTATTGCTCAAGGTATCCATCCATTTGCTTGGAACCCACCCAACACAGGCCCCTCTCCAATCCCGTCATACCTTTCAAGTTCTTCACGGCGAGGTGTTCCTGCACATACTGCACACAGGTGTCCTGCAGGAATTCCAGCAGTTCATAGCTCGTCTGATTGAAGGTGTTGAGCTTCTGCAGGGTGTAGGTGACCACTTTGGAGGGTGCCTGGGACCCTGCCACCCATGAGGCTGTCTTTGGTTGGAAACTCACAAAGGAGCTTCCATTCACAGCCACTTCGAAGAAGACATGGGCTTGAGAGCTCTCAGGAGGCAGTTCACAGCCCAGGAAGCAGCGAATGGTCAGAGGAACTGTGGATGGGGTTCAGAGTCAGGGGGGTGTGTGGAGAGGCTGCTAGGTGTGCGGGGATATCCACCAGGGGGAAGTGAACTTTCAGGGTTCAGGGAGAATCAGGGACAGGGCCTTCCAAAACAATCTACCCCGAGATCACGCCAGCAGGAAGAGAGCCTGACAGAGGGCCCGTCAACTAGGACACCCACTCCTCTCCAGCCTCAACCTCCCACCCAGCAATCAGCAAAAGTAGGCGCCCTGCCGCCGCTGGGCTCCGCAGCCCGCTCACACAAGACCAGGCCCACGGTGCCAGGCCCATCCACAAGACCCCCTCCCTGACCTCATTTCCCCACAGGCCCGCCCCTGTCATATCTCACCCACGGGCCACGCCTGCCACCTGCCCTGACCAGCGCCGCCCAGGCCAGGCTCCCGGGGTGCGCTCCACTCACAGGCCACGTGCCGCTCCCGGTGCACCAGCTGCACGAAGCCGGAGAAGTGGCTCAGGTAGAGCTGCAGCCTCTTCTCTGTGAGCGCCCAGCTCTCGGGGTCCTGCAAGGGCTGCAGCTGGAGGATCGTGACGTTGGTGCCCGGGCCTTCCAGCATGTGCGTCTGCAGCCCCCCCAGCGATGCGTTCCCCTGGTGCCACACTTGATCGGGGTCGAGAAAGTAGGAGATCTGGAGCATGTGGAGGTTCCGAGGGCCTGGGGGCAGGAGTCAGTGCGTTAGGCCTGGCCGGCGTGGGAGGGGTCGGCGTGTAGCCAGAGATAATAACCCCCTACCCAGAGGCCGGCTGCCCACCTTCTCAGCCCTTCCTAACTACAAAGTGTCCTCCCACGCTTCCTCCCGTTTGATGCTCACAGCAGCCCTGCCAGGATGGCAGTACAGGGATTATTATCTTCCTTTTACAGATCAGGAAACTGAGGCCAGAAGAGTGGAAGCCACTTGCTCCATGGTAATCCAAACAGTCAGTGGAAGAGCCGCCCTAATCTGCTTTCTCTCTCTCCCCCCTTCCCCCACATTTCCGGTTGGTTAACAAATCTTGACCTACAGTAAAATTCCAATTGCATCTCCTGTTCCCTGTCTCCTCTGCCGTGTCCCTATTTCAGGCCTCATAGGTTCTCATCTGGACTGGGGTAGTAACTTCCTTCCTCATCCCCCTGCCCTCATTTTTCAGTTTCACACCTTCTAATCTGACCTCTACCTGACCCAGAAATAAGATTATGTCCTTCTCCTGTTTAAAATCTTCCAGTGACACACTCCCCTATCCATAATAATAATAATAATAGCTAATAGCTATTAAGTGCTTATTATGAGCTGGGCACTGTACTTTACATACTTTATCTTATTTGTACCTTCCTCCCATTAGATTAATGCAGCGGCGACTATTATTAACACCAGTCCATATGGGAAACAGGCTCAAATGGTATGGGAGAGCCAAGGTTTGAAGGCAGGCCAGTCCCAGTCCAGCACTTTTAGCTACTCAGCTGTACTGCCTCACCATAGGGTATCTGTCCACAGAATCAAGTCCAAAGTCTTTAGCCTGGCATTCAAGGCTGCCAGAGACCAGGACCCACCTGCTTTTTTCAGCCTCTTTTCTGTGCTTAAATATATCCAACTACTCGGAGTTCCTCATGCTTCCTTTTGGCTGACATGTGAATAGCATGTGTGGGTTGCTTTGCCTCCTGGCAAACTTCTCTTCATGCTTCAAGACCCAGTTTAGCTGCCCTCTCCTTGGAGAAGTTTTCCTGATGCCTCTCCTCTTTACCCTCCCAGACACAGTGGGTCTGTTTCAGTGATCCCAGATTCTATATAACTGTCTCCAAACACACAGGCTACACTGGGCTCCTCTGGGCTATAGAATCATATCTGGTTATCTCTGCCTCCTACACCCAGTAAGAGCCTGGCACAGAGTTGGTACCCAGAGAATCTTTGAGGAAGGAGTGAGTCTGGGGTTGTAAATGTGTGGGGGGGTGTGTCTTGTCCACGTTAGCATTGGAGAAGTTGTGCTCTCTGTCTGCAGGTGTGAATAAGCATGTCTATGTGGTTAACCCTAGACAAAGTTCTTAACTGCTCTGTGCCCCACTCTCCTCCTCTGAGAGATGGAGATAATATTATCCACCTTGGAGAGATTCTGTGGGATTAAGTGAATCAATACATGTATTAGCCATAGTGAGTACTGACTGTATATTCGTTATTATTTGCTCCCTCTCTGACTGAAGCTATAGAGATTAGGGGAGAGGGGAGAGAAGGCCCCTGAGCAATTACAATGCCAGGCAATAATGCCCCTTCCCTGCTGAAATGGAGCCACTTCAGGCAGCCTGACCCCTCTGAGTTCTCCCGTTGAGCTCATCTTCTCTTTCTCCTGAATTTCACCTCACCAGCTGCCCCCAGTCTGTCTTCACCTTCTCTACCTCACCTTCCTTCACCTTCCTGCCTCACATATCTCAGCCTCAGTCTTTCCCCAAGTCTTCCGGTCTCTTCCCATTCCTTCCATCTCTCATCTCATCTTCCCTAGACTCACCTTCATCCACCATCACCCTCCATCCACCTGGAAAGGAGAGAGCTCTCCCTTTCCAGACTTCTCCCCATCTCTCCCCTCTCCCGAGGATAATTCCCTAACCCTTTCTACCCATCCCTTTCCTATTTTTCCAGTCCTGTTTCCCCCCAGCGTCCTCCATCTCCCCCGTTCCCGTGGGCTGAGCTGTACTCCCTCGCCTTGGCTTTGGGACACATCCAGTCCCCAGGACCCTGCCTGCCCTACAGAGAGATCCAGCCGGCCGCAGACAGACACTGTGGGACAAGGTCCTCTGGTCTTGCCCATGTACGCAGACAGGCTGAGAGTCTCCAGAACCGCCCCGAGGCAGGAGAGCTGCCCTCCACTCACCGTCTGAGGCTTCCTGGCTGCAGAGGGCCCAGCCCGGCAGGAGCAGTAGAGGCAGCAGTGGCAACAATGTTGTCAACATCCTGGGTCTGAGATTCTTGATCCCACCTGGGTTCCTGGCTCTGGCCGATTGGAGGCTGCGGCCAGCTGCAGCCTAGGGGAGAAAGAACTGAGGACTGTCTGGGAGGGGAGGAGGCTAAAAGGAGGAGGCTGGAAGGTGGCCAGGGGATCGGAGGAGGAAGAGGACATCAGGCTTATAAAGTGTTGTTCTTACCCTGTCTCATTTCCTACTAGGGGGCTGGCCTCCCTCTGCCCTCCTGCCCCGCCCTGCAGCGCGCCCTTCTGTCCAGACCTGCCTTCTCCCTTTTCCCAGGGCCGCTTCCGAGGAACAGGGAGCGGAAAAGGGGGAGAAGGGCTTGGAGAGAAGTCCTGCCCTCGCTGAGTCAGGGGGTGGGGCATTGGCTTTAAACTTAGAGCAGGCTCTAGGGTGTAGTATCAGCAGACTCCTGATGGGAAAACTGAGGCCCAGGGGCCCGCCCCGTGGCCGAGTGGCTAAGTTCTCACGCTCTGCTTCGGGGTTTCACCGGTTTGGATCCTGGGTTCATCAGGCCACGCTGAGGCGGGTTCCACAGAGCACAACCAGAGGCACTCACATCTAGAATATACAACGATGTACTGGGGGCCTTTGGGGAGAGGAAGGAAAAAAAAAAAGAAGAAGATTGGCAACAGATGTTAGTGCAGGTGCCAATCTTTCAAAAAAAAAAAAAAAACGAAAAAACAAACCGAGGCCAGGAGAGGTGCAGAGACTTGCGCAAAGTTTATACATCATGGTGGTAACGGATCCGAGATTAGAATTCAGTTTTCCAGCATGCTTTTATCAGAATTTTCAGTAAATACTAATTACACAATCAGGGATCTTGTTCTCAGAAATAGTCCCAGAATGAGCATAAAGCAGCTCACTGCAGCATTGTTTGTAATAGGGGAGAATTATGAACAATCTAAATCTCAGTGAAGCAATACTTTTCAAACTGAGATCACAATCTATTAGTGGACAGCGAAAACAATTTAGTAGGCCATGATTAGCAGGGTTTTTTTTTTAATGAAATAGAGCAGAACAAAAATTTTTAGTTCATCACCCTTAATAGGGGTAAGGATTATTTCATAAAATATTTGTTCAGTTGTATATGTGTGTGTTTCGGTTTTGTGCATTTGTGTTTCTATGATGGGTTTTGGATAGCAGTGTAAGAGGTACTCTTATTCTAGGAAGCAAGTAGAAAAATCTGAAAGTGAATCCCCTAAACTATGATAATCCATGCTGCAGAATACTATGCAGTTAAAAAAATAGCCCTCCACTGCCCAACCCCCACTCTCTTTTCATCCTATTACTACCTGAAATTATATTACCTATTCATTTACGTTTATCGTCTGAATGCCCCACCACAACGTAAGCTCCGTGAGAGTAGACACTGTCCGTCTTGTTCACTACTGTGTCTAGAATAGTACACATAGTAAATATGGTAATAAATAAATAATAAATATCAGCTAAATGGGTCACTGAATGAGAGTTACGATGTGCATACCTCTCCAAGAGTAAGTTGCAGAACATTATGTATAATTTAGAACCATTTATATGTCAACCACACACACAACAACTAAACAACATATTTCTTTATGGGAGTAAATGAATCTGGAAGGATGTACATCAAATATAGTAGTGGTTTATCTCCAGGGAAAGATCTGAGATTAAGAGTGTATACAAATGTGTGTGTGTGTGTGTGTTAGGGGTGGCAATCTTGTGAAAGGCTTTATCACTCTATTTCGTGAAGGGTTTTATCACTCTGTATTGTTTGAAGTTTTTACATCTATGTGTGATCATATATTTCTGGTTGGATTAAACATAAAAGTTTAAGTAATACTATGGTAAAAGAGAGTGAGCTTATATATTGACATGAGACATTGACAAGTGAAAAAAGACAGTGTGGAACAATACATATAGTATAATTCCATCGATTTTTAATTTAAAAATTTTACTTCTATACAAGTAATCCATATATAAGTCCATTCTCATATTTAAAAAAACCTTTATTTATCTGTGTATTTGTATATACATAGGAAGAATACCTGGAAGGTACTGTCAATAGAGATTGCTCCTGGGGAATGGGATTAGGTAAATGGCTGAGGGGGGGGTTTAAGTTTTTATTTTATATACTGTTCCTTGAAGGAAGAGTTGATATCATATGGCGTTGGGCCAAACCCTGGACACCCACGAGGTTCCCATTCTCTGATGAATGTCCATGCTCAGCTCTCAGCTGTTGCAAACTAGCTAAGAAATAGCATTAAAATCTTTTTCCAGCTCACCAAAATGGTCTAGTTGGAAGAAGAATGGGGGCCTTGTTTCCCTGGACTGGGACTCAGGAAAAGTGGAAGGACTTAAATCACTGCCTATTACATTGTCTTGCCTTTTATAAAAGATTATTATGAAATATTTCATATTTAAAGAATTATTTCATGCTTGAAGAAGTTTATTAGAAACATACATGTCCCTGCCACCCAGCATAAGAAAGAAAATATCAATATAATTGAAGCCCCCAGTGCAGTCCTCTTCAGCCATGTCTCTCTCACTCCGGCCCGGCCCCTCAAAGTAACCACTAGTTGGAATTTGCTATTTTCCTTTCCTTCCATTTCTATATACTTACACTACATATGTATATATCCGTAAGCAATATATAGCAGTATTTTGCACATTTTGAGCTTTATATAAATGGGATTTAAGTGCATGTATTCCTCTGAAACTTGCTTTTTCCACCTAACATATTAACAAGATTCACCCATGTTGCTATGTGTGGGTCCGTTAATTTCCACTGCTTTATAAAATGCCATTTTATGAATATACTGCAATTTATTTATCCATTTTCCTGTTGTTAGACAGTAAAGTTTTTCCCCCAGTTTTTCGCTATTACAAACAATGCTGATATGAATGTTCTTGTCCGTGTTTTCTTGTGCATATGTGGGAGAGTTTTTGGAGGTGCCAACCTGGGAGTGGAATAGATATTGCCAAACTGTTTTACAAAGAGGTTGGGCCAATCTACATTCCCAGCGGCGCGTGAGAGATCCCTCACTCCACATCCTTGCCAACCCTTGGCATTCTCAGGTGGTTGCGTGTGAAATGGCACTTCATTTTGGTTTTGCTTTGCTTTATCTGATTCCTAGTGAGTTTGTGCATCTTTTCGCTTTGCCTTTTTTTTTCGCTTGAGGGTTTGAAGGGTGCTTTGGGATGGAGGGTAACAAAGTATATAATTGAATCAATTTGGAATTGAGTGCTGTCAGTCTTCAATCAAAGTAGGTAGGGCCTGGGCCCCTGGGGTTAAAGTGGGTCCCCACCACCATCCACAGAGCTGATTGCAGAGGGGTCTTTCCCACTAGCTAAGATCTGTCATGGAGAGGTGGCAACAGCAGCAGCTATTTCCCAAGCACCCTCTTCACACACCAGTGCCCCGAAATTTAAATAGCAGAGACAACAATTATTATTATTGGTAACATTGGTTGTGGCTAGGAACAGTGTTAAATTCTTTAAATAAATAATCTTGCTTTATCCGTATGTGAGTCCTACAAGGTGGGTTTTGTTAACATCATTTTACTAATAAAGAGACTGAGGCTCTGAGAGGGTAAGTGACTGACCTGAGGTCACACAGCAAAAGCTATAATTTAAACCCATGTCTCTCTGATGCCAAAGTTTGTGAATTTAACCACCACATAGTATCTCAAATATTTTGGGGGATTACTCTCTGTCAATACATTTTTGAACACATACTTCCAACATGCTTGAATATTTACGTTATATATAAAACATGCCAAAAATTAACACTCTGTGCTAGGGCTTTATATTTATCATTTCCTCTGGGGCCCATAGCACTAGCCTCATTGTCTCCATGGTACAGATGAGATGATTAAAGCCCAGAAGAGCTAAGTAATTTGCCCAAGATCACACAGCTTGGAAGTGAAGAGCAGGCATTTGAATTCAAAGAGGATGGGGATATGGGATTGGGTACAGGGAGCGCAAAAAGAGTATGAGGAGTAGGGAAGCTGGTGAATGGGGCAGCTTCAGATGTGTCCCCTTTTCCCCTTCTAAACCCAGAATTGGGGGTGGGGAAGAGAAGGGAAATGCTGTGGTTGGAGCCAGAGCCTATGCTGCATCTGGCCTGGGTGGCTGAGAGGCAGAAAACCGCAGAGCAGAGTGGGTGCAGGGCCAGCAGCTGTATTTGACTGAGGCCTAAAGAATGAGGTTCCCACTGAGCAAAGGGAAGTGAAGGAAGCAAGTGGTGGCATTTCCCACCTCAGAGAGTACATGGTGGGGGAAGATAAGGGAGACAGGAAGCTGAGCGGGGCCAGTGCTGGTGTAGCTCCAGTGGGTGAGGAGAGGCCCCGCCAGGAGCTGGGCTGAGCCAGGGGCTGGCAGTGTGCCCAGCTAGACTTCAGAGGACCAGCCCTCTCCCTCCCCTGTGAGCTACTGAAGAGAGGAGGTTTTACCAATCAGGCCCAATTCAGCTAACAGTGCAGTGAGGGCCTTGAAGAGGTCACCCCCCCCCCCATTAGGATGTGGAATAAGAACAATAACATGTATTGAGAGATTACAGTGTGCTAGGCAGTGTATTAAGCCAGCACAGTGCATATGTTTTATTCTCATTAGTGCCCTATGAAAAGTATGAAGAAACAGCCATTATTCCCTTTTTACAGATGAGGACACAGAGGCACAGAACAGTGAATGGACCTGCTCGAAGACACGCAACTAGCAAAAGACAGAGCTGGGACTCAAACCCAGGTGAGCTGGACTCTAAAACATGCATTCTTAACTATTAGACCATCCTATGAGGATAAATGAGATGACTCAGACAAAGTGCCAGAACACAGTACGTATTCAGTGGGTGGGAGAGGAAAAAAAAGGAGCTTGGCTTTGGGGGCAGCAAACAGAACTGACCCTGCAGCAGGAAGAATGGAGGGTAGATGTTAAGTATGGTTTCCTGAAGGGGAGGCAAAGGAACAGATATGAGTCAACCAGATTTTCTGCTGTAGACACTAACACACCCCAATTTTGGGAACATGTCAAGAAGTCCCATAAAGTCAGGATGCTTCTAGCCCTGGCCTGCCCAGTAAGCGGTGGGAGCCTGGTATTCCTGTCTTGGCTCCTGCCTCTCTTTCCAGCCCTATCTTTCCATGCATTCCAGTCTCAACCAAATCTGCTCCTCCTGGTTTCCTGAACACAGAGCACGCAAATGTTCCTTTCAATTTCTTTATCTTGTCCTTAGATAAACAGAAGTTTCTAATTTCCAGGTCAACTTTATCAATCTTTTCCATTAGTTCATGCTTTTTGTACTTTGTTTAAGAAATTCTTCCCTACCCTGGCATCATGAAGATATTCTCCTATTTATTTTCAAAATTTTTATAGTTTTGTCTTTTACCGTCAGGTGTATGGTGGGAAGTGGAGGTCAAGATTTGTTTCTTTTGTGTAGATATCTGATTGTTCCAGCACCACTTATGGAAAGTCT